CGCCCGCAACCTTCGGGAGGACCCGCGGCGTCGGGCGGTGACGCGGGGTGCACCCATAGAAAACCGTAAAGTCTAGAGCACATTGACGCAGCTATACACTTTCGCCCCCCCCTTTTTTTGTGCGGGCGTCACATCCGGAGAAGTGAGGAGAGCTATAGGAACTGTCGTATGTTTACCTCAGGGACACACATAATAGGGTTACAGAATTAACAATTATAGTCAGAACCATATTTTTAGCAGATGATACCTAAAATACTTTAACTAAATATAAAGAAAACATAAGTACCTTTAAGGTGTCAGCTAGCTTTTACTCTCGATTAGCAGGAAAGAGAACTAGGAGCAAAACCAGAAATCATTATTTGTGCGCTGGGGGAATAGTGTCCGGCTGGCTGGCTGAGTGTCGCGCCAAGCCCCTTCCTTGCCCTGCCTAACAATACCGCGCCGGATTGGCCCCTTCCCTGACCAACAATACTGGGCCACCGCCGCCAGCCGCCCTGCCCTCCTCGTATAGGTCCTCTGCGCCACTAGGCCACCGAATTGCAATATTGCAAGCAACCAAACAGAATGCAGCTAATGGGATAAAATAAGAACATAGCCTTATTCATAAATTTGTATCATCTGCTTTCAAGATCGATTCTTGATTGAGATTTTGAGTTCTCACAGCCACTTTATGGCCGCCCTCGAAGAAACGATTTGGTTGCTTAATCTCTCTATTATTTTTTTTTCTGGGTGCACTGTCGCGCACAGTTGGAACATCACCCACTTTTGTTCGCCACGCCGCCACAATGTGATGCAGCCACCCCGCCGGGGCTCTGCCCCACCCTGCCCCGCCCTTGCCCCGCCACGCCCCGCCACGCCCCGCCACGCCCCGCCCAGCTCTGCTCCGCTCTGCACCGTCCTGCCCCACTCCGCCCTGCCCTGCCCGGCAGGCGACGTCCGCACGAGGCCAATGCCAAGGTCGGGCTTCGTGCCGGTGCTCCTCTCGAAGGTCCTGCACCGGACCTGCCAGCCTGCACCCGAACCTGCTCCTCGCACCTCTCTGCCCCCTCCCTCTGGACCTGGCTCTACTTCCCGTCGGGCGCGGTGGCGCGCATGGCTTCAGCGGCCGTTCGCACCTGCGCTGCGCATGCTGCGCCTCGTTCAGTAAATAGTTCATCGCAAAATTCGGCCAGTCAGTGTTAGTCAAAATCATGTCGGTCAGTGTAACAATCCACCCACAGTGACACAACAGAGGCAG